GGTTTCTAATTAAAGGGTGGGAATGTAGATTTGATCATTTTCAGATGACTCACAGTAATATGCTGTTTAAGATAATCTGAGGTTTTGATTCTTTCTTTGAGTTCCTTCATAGAATTTTTCTTCCTCTCTCTTTCTTGCTTCTTTACTTTTTCTCTTTTCTTATTTAATTTTACATGTAGGTGTCATCATTGCAGTTTAAGACATATGTCCCATAAAATCCTGAAACATGTAATAATGAATGCATGAAATAAGAATTGTTGCCTCAAATAGTTCAATTTTTCTGAGACTAATGATGTCATCAAGAGCATAGTTTTACACACTTATGGAATGAATTCAGAACTACACTTTTGGAGACAAATCATGACAAAATTGAGTGGTCCCAGTGAAAGAGAGGTGTAGCTGTGGATGCTGCCAGTGTTCCTTCCATATTCCCTGCGATCCTCTCACCATCTCTGTTGCAGACCAGACTGACTAACAATGACTAGCACCAGGAATAGCCTCCTTTGGTCAATGCATTGCAACAGAAGTGACCAGGAATCACATATCCCCTGTGGCAGCCCTTCATTAAAAGTTGTTGTTATACCACCTTACCTGCAATCATTCTCAGGTGTGGGTTTTGCACATTTTTCAATATTTCTCCACATGGTGTAAATGCTGCTTACTCACTGATTTAATTCAAGCTTTATTGGCTGTCCTTTTTTCCCTGTGTCACTTCTCCTCTCTCCTGTCCATATTTCTTGCTTCTTCAAGTACATTGCTTGCACTTGAATCCTTGGCTTATTGTCTACTTCTGTGGAACTCAAACTCAGAATATTGATAAAAACTGTAAAGGGTAATAAAAGACTATGAAAGGAGCTATGGACTTGTAGCCAAATAAAATAAGACATAAACAATTTAATAAAAAATAGTATTTTTATGAAGTAGTGGCAAAAGTGACCATAACTTTACATTTAAAAAGTTTATGTTGCTGTTGTTGTTAAGTGCCATTGAGTCTAATCTGGATCATAGCAAACCTGTATAAGGTTTCTGAGCCAGTTGTTGGTTTGAACCACTGATCTTGTGGTTCACAATCCAGCACTGATCTTACAGAACCACACCAAAAATTTTACAGAGATTATTAATTCTTAAACAAGAATAAGACAAGACAACGTAAACATCCAGGTGAAGGAAATCATAAATACCATGATGAATTCCCAAAATTCTATTTCCATGAGGTGACATTTTATAGGGCACATTTTATAGGAGAATAAAGGAATCTCCTCTTACAATCATGACTTAAGGAAGCAATGCCAGGCCTATGGAAGAAGCGAAGGGACTATTGCAGTTACGAAGTGTATCCAGGAAAGTTCCTTCCAGGAAAGCTTCCAGATGGTCTCTCAGGATCTTGGGATATGGCATCACATTCATCGATAATTCAGGCAGCCATTAAATGGTGTGTCCTGGAAAGTTCCTAGCAGGGCCGGCTTGAAGAAAGTGATCCCAAATCCACTTTAAAAGGTACTTTCCTTCTAACAATATCAGTTCAACTATCAGAGGTGCATGACATACTCAAGACAAATTGGTGTCTGAACACAAACCTTGACATTAAGCTCTGCCTGGCAGAAGTCATTTGCAGGCAAACAACAGCAACAACAAAACTTCGGATTTCATGCTTTATAGCATTTCCTGGTGTGATGCTTTAGGATAAAGCACTGGACTAAAAGGCCAGTTTGAACCACAAGGTCGGCAGTTCAAACTCACCAACCACTCTTTGGAGTCAGATCTGACTAGATGATACTTAACAACAACAGCATTTCCTCATATTGGTGAGATTGAGGGTAATCACACAAATCCTACATGGAATTTTCTGGGAACCTAGATGCTGATTATAGTAAGCTCTATAAATTCATGGTGGTCTTTTATGAGATATCATCATCTTCTTCTTCA